AAATAATACTATTATATAGCGGTTCTTTCTTTTCTTACAATCTTCAGTGGGGCCGAGATTGGAGCTGTATGTGTATGCGTGGTATCATACTTCATGGCCTGGGATCCGTATGATGCCCTCCCCATTAATCCTCTGACCTCAGCATGGGGCTATGATTGTGTGCACATACAGTAACCTGGAGTGAAGTTGGAAAGCGTGGGTTCTGGAAATCTCCCCTTAATGTTGGTCCAGTGCTCCGGGGTACTTGTACCATCTAGGAGGAACCGTTCCAGCTTCGCTGGCCTCCAAATTAATCCAAAAATAGATTATGTTTACTTTCAGCTGTGGTATCTATGTTAGGAAAAATTAAGAAAAAAATACTTGGAAGTTCAGTTATCTCTAAATAGATGGAGAAACAAATAATAAGGAAAAATACTTGGAAGCTCGGTTATGTCTCAATAGATGGAGAAAAATAATTAAGAAAAAATACTTGGAAGTTCAGTTATCTCTCAATAGATGGAGAAAAAATCAAGCAAAAAATACTTGGAAGTTCAGTTATCTCTGAATTACTCTACAGTAATAAAAAAAGTTAATTTTGGCCATTATGTCATGTCAGAAATACACTGGTTAGCATCTTTTACAGGATATTACCTAATATCAGGTTGGACCACCTTTTGCCACGTGCGATATTGATTCTTCAAGGCACCAGAGTTTCCTTGTTCAATTGTAACTCATTCAGCGAGGAATATAGTCTGCAAATGATTTAGAAGTCTTAATTAAAGATTAAAATGGTGAATGAGATTTCAAAGATGCTCAATGAGACTGAGATCCATTGATTGTGTGGGTCATGCTCTTCAAATCAGTTTCAGGAAATATGAGCACAGTGAATTGTGTTATCTTGGAGGAACCCTTGGCCATTAAAGTGGAAATGCAGCATTGTAAGGTGAATAATAAGCACAATGTTCAGTACACACTGGATGTTATTCATTCTTCTAAAGAAATCAAAGGAATGAACTCTTGTCAGGTAAATGTTACCCATACTGTTACACCACATCTAGCAGCTTACACCATTAGAAAAACACAAACAAGGTCAAGTGTCTCATGGGGCTTTCTTCGTGTATTTCTTATACCATCATGTATGATTAACGTAACAAAAGCTGCTTATCTATTTTTGTAAGATATTATTGGGATCTTGACTGGCATATTAAATTAGTTATATTAATATCTGGGTTATATATTTTAGTTCTGAGCAATGAAGTTAGTTTGCTTGGATCAGAAGTTAATAACAATAACTACAAAGAAAAGATAAAACATGGCTCATTTGACCACATCACATGCTTTTGATCAATTATTGTCCACTTATTATGATGTCGTCAGCTTGTAAAAGGTATTCAAAAAGCTTATTAAAACACTGTTTCGATCACTACTGTGTTTGTTGTATCTCAGTCGCCCTGAAGAGCTCTGGATTGAGTGAAATGCGTCATTGGCATGGATATGACGGATATATTGTGGTGGGAATACTATTATTATACACACTTCTAATTTTTGAAAATCCCTAAGGGACTAGGTTAAGAATCTAGAGCTTACAAATATAATATGCCTAACACTAATGTCTTATGGCAAGTGTAATTATTGTCCAATTGGTAAAAATTGTGTTCTTAGTTTCACTGAAACCACGTTTTATGTTTGAAGATTAACAGTTATTGTAATGTGTACATGATGATGTTGAAAATAACGAAAACCCTCACACTGTTGAAAGAGTTGCTAATTTAAGACACAGATATTTCTTAATAGCAAACATTATTTTTCTCTTTGCCTTTCATATCGTCAAACTTTCATTTAATAACAAAAAACGACATAAATTGTGTTATATTTAGATTATTTTAGAGGACGCTGCTTAAATTCTTAAAATCCTTGCAGCGCTTCGTTGTTACTATCACGGTAGTAAGTTGTTTGAAAATAAAAAAGAGAAAAAGAAAAATGTGGTTCGCGGACTAAACTCAAACGTTGCATGCAACTTGGTATAAAAAACATGGTTCAAGATGTGAATATTTTAAACTTGAGATTGAGAGGAGAAATAAATACTTAAAGTTAAAACGTAAGTTGACATTCCGTCAGAAATTAAAATATTTTCTGTGTGTGCGTGTGTGTTTTAATGCTAAACCCAAAATTGATCTAAGATTAAGGCCTAACGTATTACTATAGTATTAGTAATACTAATATATTTTTATGTCTAACGTCAAGTTGCATTTTCAAGCTTTTCATTCTACTACAATTACAAACTTAGAACGAAACACCTACTGCAAGACTTCTTCCCAGAGTTAAATCCTAAAATTGTAACAATTTTGATTTCTCTTCATTTGCCAGATTAGTTGAAATGAAAGTTGAAGCAAAATTTCCAGCATGTTACACTTACAAGTTAAACTTACAGTGTTATAAAGCTGGGAACTAAAAAGTAAAACTGAAACAATGTTTTAGCTGTTTGCTTTTGAGACTGAGGGTTGCCTTGGTGATAAGGATTGGCTTTTTACACCTTGCTTTTATATTCTAATAGTAATATCATATTTTATTGATTTAATCTTCAACAAGTTTATTTTTCACTTCATGTTCAAGCAATAAACTTACCAGCAGTCCTGATGATATGTTGTTTACTGCCAGTTTCAGTAATTTTCTACTTCTGTTGGATAGGTAAATAGATGTGAAGGTCTATGTTTAATCCTTTGTGTACAGGTGGAGTTAAAATGCAGAGTACCATTTGACATGGTATTATGTGTTTGATATCAGAGTTATCAACTAATTATTTTATCCTATGCAAATGCAATATGCAAACTCAACACTAGAACAAAAATACTTTTATGTTTCATATGAACATTACTTTGCACTCTCTATTGTCAAAATTTGAGTACAAATACTTTTGTAAAACATCTGATTTTAAATTTTTTGTGCATAACAAACTTGTATATGTTATTAAAAACGTGCATTATTTTGGGTGGGTACAAACAGTAAATTCAGAATTACGGTCTACATTCCTTCACCAGTTTGGGGCTGGTCCAATGGCCCAACATTGTGCACATTATGTTAATATGAACATGATGTTTTGGTTGTTTTTTGGGGAGAGGGGTGTCTTCAATAGCCTAGTTGCCATTCTGTCAGCTTGCTGACCTAATACTTTTAAAATACAATTTGTGTATGTATATTGTGGAATAAATTGTACATTATATATGGTATTTTTCTTTTACAAGGAACTTTGTGTGTATATTCACAATGGATTTGAAGTATCCATTCATGATATTTGTTTTAATTCAACTTTTTCTATTTGTTTCTCCCATTTTTTTCTTTTGTACAAAATATATCACTGTTTATCCTGAGGTCAAAAAACTTTTACCTCTAAGATTGTTTTGTTTTCCTTGTTTCTGGGTCACTCTAAAGTATGACATGCTTTCTTTACAAGACGTAATCCTTCTTTTAACAGGCTTATCTTTTGACACGTTAATGTTATCTCCTTTTAACTCTTATAGTGTGCATCATGGTTGTTGCCAACTTTTATGTGTTTCATTACCTTTCTGGTTGATTTATGATCCATTTGCCCTTTTGTTGATTTTTTTTAAGGCTAACTCTTGTGTGGATGCTGAATTTCATTTGATCACAAGCTCTTTTGCTCTATCCTTATTATATATGAGTGAGATTCATCTTGTATGATCTGGATGTCTTTGGTTTCATGGGTATCCCTTAACTAAGTATCCACTGAAATTTGGACACACGATTCTCATGACCTGGAATGGTCTTTATGTGGTTAATTAATTGTCTTTATCTTTTAGTACTTGGTACTTAAGATGTATTGATGTTTAAAAGACTTCAAGCATTACTCCATTGAAGGTATTACAGTTGCTATAGTACCAGATCATATCACAAAATTGAGATGATGCATGTATTTGTCAGAGTCCCAGTTGGACCACACAATAACATTTTTACCTAGTAACCCAGATGTATTTGAGAATTATTTTTTTTTGTCTTTGTTCCTAACTTTTGTAATGTATGTCAGGCATTATGTTGTCTCCTGTATGCTGAGCAGTTGACCATATATTTATAATTTTCCTAGATTCCGTTTATTACTTTTGGTCAAGTAGAAGATAAAGAGATTTATAGACATGTCTAAAAACCAGTGAGAAATGTTTATGGTGCACTTGGATATGACTGTTCCAACTGGTGGATGTCAGCCTTCTTGGCTCTGAAGTTTAGTGTTGCTGCAAGTGTAACTTTTGCTGAAACAACTGAGGAATTCACTGCAGAAATCACTGTTAAGAGGTATGTAAGGCTAATTGTCATTGGTAGTATTTGGAAATAATTAAGCCAGCCTTGACATCCAGATCTTTAATTGTCAATTGGACCATTGCAAAATCAATCCATTTTTTTCAGATCACCATTTTCTTTTGTACTCATGATTGCTCATCAAGATTGTGCATGAGATGTTAGATATTTAGAATGTGGAAGATAAATGACCTTTTGTGGAATCATCACCTTTTCTAAGGTGGCCAAATAACTCCATCATTCCTCTTAGTATCCCAATTTGTAGGAGAACTTCATGGATGGGTTTCATTTTAGGATGAGCATCAAGAACTGTGATCACTTGACAGGAAGTGCTTATTAAAAGTTCTCAGTCTTTCCCTTTGATATGGAGGTTCTTTGTAACTAACTAAGTCATTTCTAGTGATCTGATGTTGTTCTTGCATAAGTTTTTACTACACTGTGCCTCAAAAAAAAACTTAGGCTATTTTTTCATTCTTTTTTTTTTATTTCCTCAGTATGGTGGAGGACTAAAATGTCTTACATCTGCTTTCATTTTTTTCCCCGATCCAGTCTCTGCAGCTTTGCCACTGTGTCAGATACATTTATCATCTCAGTTGTTGCTACAGAATCTTTGATAAGTAAGACATGGCTGTTTTCTTACCTCACTTCCCTATCAGTGTCAGAATTCTATCTTATAATGATGTCAGATCATATTTGTATTAATCTTTTGTTTGGAAATCTAATTGGAATCGTATTAGACTCCTGGGATGGAGATAGTGCTCTTGAATCATAGGCTACATTATGTTCTATGATTGATCAATTAAGTACCTCATTGAACATTGGAAACAATTGGGTTTTGTAGCTGAATGAATAGTACTGAAAATTAACCATCATCATATTTTGAAGTAAAAAAAATGTTTTGAAGATTAAAAATCAAGGATTTTATTTTCTGGCTACAGGCGGAATCATAAAACTTTTAAGGTGAGTTGAGGTGAGAGAAAATACGAGTATATATTTTTTTTATCTCATGTAAGTTATTACCATTGCTCTAAATTTGGGATTCCTTAGTTAAAAAAAAAAAGTTTCTTCATCCTTAGTAGCTCGTTGCAGTGGCTATGGCATAATGTTAACGTGTCAGATTACTTTACATTTTTCAAATTTATATATGTTCTCTTTCTGCAAGAGTGTTAGTCATTCCATTAAAGACTTAGTTTTGATGAACACAGGTTAGGGGGTGATGAACAAAAAATAATGTTTGTTTGTTATGGTTCCATATGACTTGGGCTTATAATTCTGATCAAACAAGTTTGAGTGTTAACTAGGATGCAGAAATGTGTAGAAGAAAAAGAAACAATAGACATTGAGGTTATTAATCTACAACTAAATATTAAGATACCTTAACAGACACACACATAGGTATATATATATATATTTGTGTATTATGTACACACATTTAGCATTACACAATTTCTGGTCAACATGGATGGTATTGTGTAATGGGGCCTTAATGAATTTTTGAAGTATGGTGTTTTGATTTTTTTCTGACATGTAATTTGAATAGTTAATAGGATGTATGTAGAGAATTTGTTGTTCACTATGAATGTCAATAAACATAGCAAGTATTCTTTAAAAGGTAGAAGTATGAATTGTTGTATTTCTAAATATTCTTTAAAAGTATTTATAAAGTTCTTATTTGTAATACTCTCTTACTGATGTACAGGTTTGTCATACTTAATTTTCTGAAGCAGAACACACAGAAAGGTTATCTTAGAATATTTGGGTGATGTTAAGAGAACACAGGGGTTAAAAAACAATGAAAGACAAAAATAAGAAATCCTATAATCCCAGCATGTTTGAAAGATAGACCTTTCTTCATCAGGTGCAAACAGGGAATAACTAATTTAAGTAATGAGTGAGAAGAGGTTAGGTTATGTCGGGGACTATACAAAGTACAATATCATGGCTATCACCTGCAGTATTCCTTTGAAAGCTAATCGGAATATCTGGTGAATGTAATGAGTGAGAGGTTAGGTTATGTCGGGGACTATACAAAGTACAATATCATGGCTATCACCTGCAGTATTCCTTTGAAAGCTAATCGGAATATCTGGTGAATGTAATGAGTGAGAGGTTAGGTTATGTCGGGGGCTATACAAAGTACAATATCATGGCTATCACCTGCAGTATTCCTTTGAAAGCTAATCGGAATATCTGGTGAATGTAATGAGTGAGAGGTTAGGTTATGTCGGGGGACTATACAAAGTACAATATCATGGCTATCACCTGCAGTATTCCTTTAAAAGCTAATCGGAATATCTGGTGAATGTAATGAGTGAGAGGTTAGGTTATGTTGGGGGCTATACAAAGTACAATATCATGGCTATCACCTGCAGTATTCCTTTGAAAGCTAATCGGAATATCTGGTGAATGTAGAACTGAATCGGTTCCCCTTAAAAATACCAAAAGCTAAGTACTGTCAAATTCTGTGTATATAAAATCTAAAATAATGGTTACATTACATAAAACTAAATACAGAAAAGTGGAAAGAACAAAAATAGCAAAAGTTAGAAACTAAAAGTAAATTTCTGTATTATTTATGTGACATTAGTCACATACTGTGTCACACGTCTGTTTACTTTTTTATTTTATTGACAAGCTTTGTTACAGGTATTATTATTTAGTTTACGTGATATTTTGAGTGTTTGTGTTGATATACTGGTGAGGAATATTATTCTAATTTAGCAATGTTATTTGTTGTTTTAGTTGATGATGGAGTACCATGTGGGGGAGTTTGCTCCTCCAATTGATGGAGGAGAGATGAATCAGGGACAGTTCTCTGTTGGAAGTTTAGCATTGGGCCAGGAATACATTTTACTGCATAGCATCCTTGCAGATGGGGGCAACCATTTTGGGGTTTCTGCTCTGAGCTTTGATTTACAGGAGGAGTTGCTATGGATGGGGAACCAAGGGGTAAGTATTCAGTGTTATATGTAGGTCTGTGATAGTTATATGTAGACAAAGTCAGGGGATCATCTGACCACACAACTAAGAACTAGTAAAAGTCTGTAGCTGCGTGTTAAGGGTTTTAATAATGGTCAGATGACTTATTAAGGCAGAGTTTACATAATTAAAGATTCATGCTCTTCGGCTCTTTTAACACAAAAAAAGAATGCTTTAAGCCATAAAAATAACTATTGCTTCAATGGTTTTGTATTGAAGTGACTTGTCATAATTAGTGAAAGTCGCATCTGATTTCTGGTCTTCTCACACCAATTACCTCTTAGATAGTGTAGTGCTTTCTATTATGACTAAACATATATTTGCCCATCTATCTCTCTCTTCATGAGTGTTATTGCTCTTTTTTTACTGATTGACATATGTTTGATTTTTTTTAAAAAGTTGATTTACTTTGATGTCATATGCCCACTTTGTGTGTGAATCCATAATTTGCTTAAGGTAGTAAATTTAGCATTTTTTTAACCCATGGGCATTTGGTCCTGGATAAAGTTGTTCTTTAAGACTTTATTCTGTTAGCTTTGGTGTGTTATCAATCATATATTGTAAGACTTTATTCTGTTAGCTTTGGTGTGTTACCAATGATATATTGTAAGACTTTATTTTGTTAGCTTTGGTGTGTTACCAATGATATATTGTAAGACTTTATTCTGTTAGCTTTGGTGTGCTATCAATCGTATATTGTAAGGCTTTATTCTGTTAGCTTTGGTGTGTTATCAATCATATATTGTAATACTTTATTCTGTTAGCTTTGGTGTTTTACTAATGATATATTGTAAGACTTTATTCTGTTAGCTTTGGTGTGTTATCAATCATATATTGTAAGACTTTATTCTGTTAGCTTTGGTGTGTTATCAATCATGTATTGTAAGACTTTATTCTGTTAGCTTTGGCGTGTTATCAATGATATATTGTAAGACTTTATTCTGTTAGATTTGGTGTGTTACCAATCATATATTGTAAGACTTTATTCTGTTAGCTTTGGTGTGTTACTAATGATATATTGTAAGACTTTATTCTGTTAGCTTTGGTGTGTTACTAATGATATATTGTAAGACTTTATTCTGTTAGTTTTGGTGTGTTACCAATGATATATTGTAAGACTTTATTCTGTTAGCTTTGGTGTGTTACCAATCACATATTGTTTTTATATTTATAATATTGATATGAATTACTTGAAAAAAAAAAAGGTTCCTGCACAAGGTGTAATACACATATTAGTATTTTATATTTATGATCAGATTGATGGGGGTAGCCATTGGCTCATATCTAGTTCTCAAACTGAAAGATATGTTCATGCTCGTATAAATTAATCACTTGATGTTTTGAAGTTCAGACAACTACAGTGCTACCAATTTGTCTTATGTTTACTAGGCCTTTCCTTACAAATGAACCAATACACAATTGTCAATCAACTTTTTTAAAGAAAAAGGGTGAAATGTAACAATTTTTCTTACCGTAGTTGGATATATATTATGATAAGTTGAAACACATCTTACACTTGTTTTATTTTTTATTCTATTTATATATTTTTAAAACATACAGTCACAGCAATACAACTGACTTGCCTGTATTTTGAGCATCATAATCTATTGCCATTGCATAACTGAGAGAGGAAATATATTCGTTATGTGATCTTTACTTCAGGGTCACGTGACATCGTACTACAGTTGTGATCTACAGAAGTATACCTCCTTCCAAGTGGATGCTACCAATGAGATCAAGCAGTTGGCAACTGTGAATGCTGGAATTTTAGCTTTGACCAGTGCTTCCATTCGACTGTCACAACGCCGAGGACTGACAGTTTTTAACCACAGGTGAGACTGATGTACATGTATAGATAAAACATCTAAAGGATTATTTACCCTTTGTAGATTGATAGTTAGAACAATTCTGCACCATATTCCATTAAAGATGTACAATACTTAAACTGACAATTATACCATTCAGTTATTTAATTGCTTCCAATTTTAATCCTAAAAACTGGGTTTCGATACCCTTGGTAGGAACAACACAGATAGCTCATTGTGTAGCTCTGTGCTTAACTACAAACAAACTAACCAGTTTTAATTACTTTCTGTAGTTGTATACCAATGTTGATGTTCTTGTATCATTATGTGAATAATACAAGTGTTTTGTACTGATCTTCACCACACACTTGGGCTAGTCTAATTTTTTAAAATTTTACCATAAAACTGTAACCTTAAAGCCTAGGCTATAATCAAACTTCAAATGAGCGTTATTCCTTTACCATTACATATACATCACCATCTAGATACCTGATGCCAGGTTAGTGTGTTTTAAGGGGTTAAAAATATAATACAAAACACATTCTAATATATTTTGAATGATGTGTAATCATTATTCTTCACTTGTTGATCCTCTATGTTTATCTTACTTCTGCTGTTGATGCAGAAAGCTAAGACTGTTGTAATGTACATCATAAGGATGCCCAAACCAAGCTAAGACTGTTGTAATGTACATCATAAGGATGCCCAAACCAACAATGGTTCACCCTAGTAACTGATGTCTTCCACTTGGCAAAAGGAAACAAAAAATAAATTGTTACAACTTATTCAGTAAAGAAATTTTAATTTTTTTTATATCTCATTTAAAAGTGTGCATGGTAAGTTTTATATAATTTATGTTGTAATTTATTTTGATTTTTTAATGTGGTTGTGCAACTGTTGTCTTGGGTGCTGTATTCTATTATTTTACACGTGTAATTTCCTGATGAAAATATTTTAAGAGTTTTTATTAAATATCTTTAGAATTTACATAAGTATTTTAAACATATATTTAAAGTTTATTTTTATTGTTATTTTAATAATTAGTTTTTAATAATAAAACACGTAGTTGGATTTAGAACCAACCAGTGAGTTGGCATCCTCATGAATAATTAAGGGGCTTAGCCAATGAAAAGACCTTATTATAACGCGGTCTTGTGATATGGACCCTGTGGACCATGTTATTGCAGGGCCCCAGTGTATAATTATATTTTTGAGCTGATTAAAAGTCGTAAGTAGTTAATATATATTCATTGTTAAGTTCGAAATTACCGAGGAAGTAGCAGCATCATGAAATTAAAGTAAAAATGTAAAATAGTCTATGTGTATTTTTTATATCATTTGAGTAGCTTCTCTTTAACTCTTTCAGTGTGTGATGAAAATATTTTCTGTTGTACATGCAGCTCAGAGCAGCTTCAGGATCTACAGTGTATGATGGTCACTCAATCAGAAACCTTGCTGATGGGAGGGAACCAACCCCACTTAGTAGAACTGAACTTGGCCCGAGGAGAAGAAATGAGGACTGTGGATGTCGGTGAACAAGGGTGTATCATATTGCGGCGACATCCCCGCTTTGTTTGTGCAGGTGACATAGGAGGGAAGGTTAGCTACATTTAGTTGACTACGGTTAACGGTAGATGAATTAGAAGGTTTGATCTTGTGCAAGGAAAGAACTAACTATATCTAGCTGGTTATAGTTAAACGTTGAGAACATAGAAAGTATTGTTTGTACAGCTAGAAAGATAAGCTAATATAGCTGAATAGAACTGAAAATTAACAAAATAAATATCTTTTTTTTTTTATTGCAGCCGGAAAGATATTTAAAAATTGGGATTTTTCTAATGTGTTTTTAAAGGTGACGTTGCGAGATCCTACAACTCTAAAAGTAGAGCACACCCTAGAATCTCATACAGGAATGTTGGCAGATTTCGACGTCCATGGTAATCAGTTGGTCACATGTGGACTTTCAAGCAGGTAGGTAGACAAGCATCATTTTGTATTTGAAAAAATAACAAATGACAAATGAATATCTGGGTCATTTGAATACACAAGCATAAGCGATATTACCAAACACTAACATCAGCAAATCTAACTAGACATTGTAATAAATAGTTAATTTGTGAAGAAGAAAACTAAAAGTTTGGAGACGGCTTGACTGGGTAATGAGAAAAACTGTATTGTAAATGTACAATGTTTTGACTTTGTTTCATACTGTATATATATACATATATTCATGTGTCTGTATAAACTACCTGTACCTGAGGATGACGTAATATTATTAAAACATCGTACATTTACAATAAAGTTTTTTCATTACCCAGTCAAGCCCTCTCCAAACTTTTATTTCTAAAAAGTGGGTCCCTCGTCATCAAATTCGAACAAGAAAACTGTTTTAGTTTTTGATATTTTTTACAATATCCTGTTAATATTAAATGAAGTTATAATAGTAAGTCATGATGCAGTGATTCATTTTGAAAACCAAACAAATTATGTAAATATCAGGGAAAAACAACAGTTTTTGAACGAAAGATAAATCATATGTATATAGTTTTTGACAAAGTGTATTCTTGGTTTCATACACAATATTTGCTTTTCGTGGAAGAAACAACAGTTTTTAAATAAAATTTTCCTGTAAAGGCACGGAGCTCTTGCAGTTGACCCTTTCCTGATGGTGTATGACCTTCGAATAATGCGAGCAGTTGCCCCAATTCAAGTGATGTTCCCTCCTTGTCTCCTTCGGTTCGTTCCTGCTTTTACTTCTCGTCTTTGCGTTGTATCTCAGGTAAGGGCTGAATAAAAATAAATATACGTACGCAAAATAATGACTACACTTTCATTGATTAAAATGTTGCATGAAAAAGTAAATGTTATGACACTTTTTTATTTGACAGAAACAAAACTTTAATAACAGAGAATTTACTGGTGTGAAATGTGGTTGAAATTTTGCAGAAGTAAAGGAAATTTGGTTTCGGATTAACATACAAAGTCTTTCCAGTGGATGTTGTGTATAAAGTAAAATCATATGAAACCACTTTGAGTAAGGAATATTTGTATTGCTCACAAAAAATTTCCTGTATTTTCGCACGATACCTAAAACATTTTCAAATATGAGACAACATTGTGAGATTATTTCCTTTGTTAGAGCATCAAAACAGGTGCGTGATCCAAGTGTGTAGTACTTCAAAGTTACTGTTGAAGTTTCGTACAATGCTTCATTAACTTAATGTTATGTCCTTTGTCATCCAGTTAATCTTAATATTTACTGCTGGGTTTTTCTATATATTTTGTGAATAGGCCTGGTGGTTAGGATGTTTGACTTGCAATCTGAGGGCCATGGGTTCGAATCCCTTTCTTACTGAACGTGGTCACTTTTTCAGCCATGGAGGCATTATAAAGTGATGGTCAATCCCACTATTCATTGATAAAAGAGCAGCCCTAGAGTTGGCAGTGGGTGGTGATGACTAGCTGCCTTCTCTCTCTAGTCTTACACTGCTAAATTAGGGATGGCTTGCGCAGATAGCCCTCGTGTAGCTTTGCGCAAAATTCAAAACAAAGAAACAAACAAAACAATTTTGTGATCTGATGAGTTGAAAACTGTATGATATAAAAATATAGAGGAACAGTTAAAGTTATTAAACCCTAACAATTTATAAGTTTTTATGTACATTCACAGTAAGTAAAACAAGCTAAAATACTCAATGTAGGTCATTTTTAAAATTGTGATACGTGCAAGTCATTTATTCATGTATGTTATAAGTTATCTCAAAAAAAGTAGTATAAAACACTGAAATATTAATGGAATAGATAAATAGTAATCATTAACTTAGTTAACCACCTCATTCCATGACGTCAAGTGTTTTTCTTAACTATAATTTGTATCATATAGAAACTGTTCTTATTCTTCATTCATATATGCTAAAATAATGGACTTACTAAGTTTAGGTTTATTTTCATTCAAGTTACAATAAAAGCATCTTTTCTTCAATATAGAGCGGACAATTTCAGTTAGTGGACACAGGGTCGTCAACACAGCCATCACTTTACATTCACCAGGTAGAGACTGGAGGAGCCGTTCTCCTAACCTTTGACACGGCTGCATCAGGTCAAGCACTTGCCTTTGGAGATGCTGTTGGTAGGGCAACAAATTTTTGTAGTATATATATGTTTTTAATAAAGAAATATATAATATATCAGTTTATGTTATGTTCAGCAGCACAACGGTGAAAATAAAAGTAGTTGAATTTTGCCGATGTAGATATATGTTAAAATCTTTTTGTGTGTGTGTGTTCTCATGTTCTTTTGGTTTATCTTTTAACTTTTTTGATATATATTCAGGTATAAATTTCGTATATTCTTAGAAAAATTATGTATTACTAATTCAGTAAACCAAAAAAATGTTACTAATTAACATCTCTTGCACTATATTTTCAACACGTTTTTATCTGACATTCTACTACGCTTTTTTTGTTAATCAACAGATTTTTGTATACTGTACGAACTCATAATTATTTAGGAAAATTTTAGTATTCCACTGGAAGAAGTTACTGCTTTTTAATCTAAATTTTGCAAATATGGAACATATATTAAGATTTAGTTGCAATTATATTCATAAGATGTACTTATCAGTATTATCGCTGTTATGTAGTACATCAAATAATATTCAAGAAAATCTTAAAACAAAGTAGGTGAGAAAGAAGGTGAGGTTAATGAAAATTTTAAAAACTCATCGATAAAACTACATGGTGCCTATTTTCATTATACTTAAAATGGTGGATTAAAGTATGTTAAAAATCTGTGTGAGGTTGATTACTAACTTTGTAGTTTCATAACATTCTATACTTCAAGGTAACTGTGTAAAAGTAGTTCCAAAGTGAATAAGGTTTATATTTATCAAGACCTTTCTAAAGTTTTCTTTGTTTCTCTTTTTTGTGTTTGTTCCAAAATGATTTATTGGATTGTCGTATATATTTCAAAAAAAAATATATATATATATATATAGAAATCAACTTTTTTTAATAACCTGTTACTTACTACTTGTTTTTTGTTTCATCTGCACAGGCAACATTAACTTATTTGGAGCTAGTGATCAAGTGACATTTAATCCATTCAGTCAGCCAACAGAATTTGCTGATCCTGTAAGTTGCATCGCTGTATAACTCCTATGAAAGATATTGTGAATTTTCTTTTCTGTTATCTTTAAACCATGTGACAGAGCTAATGTTGAGACTGGTGTTGATTGAATTATTATTATTATTATTTATGTGAGAGCATTTATGTTAGATTACATTTAGCTCGATAAAGGTGTTAATAGTTATTAAATCTCTGGTTGTAAAAAAAAAAATCTTAAAAAATTTTAATAATTATTTCACGAAAAAAGGAATCCATGTGTATCTAACTTTGAAATTGCGATTACTTGTCTTTACATATTTTTTTCCCATCAAGAATATACACACACACACACACACGTATATACATATACACTTCCTGAGTGTAAATTGGCTGTAAATCAGTTGTGCCATTGTCAGTTTATGTCACTATTAACACTGATTGTACAAGCACAAAAAATAATATATGCAATTTTTGTTCATTGAGCTTTTTGTGTGTGTATGTATGTATATATATAATTCTAATGTTATTAAATACATTGATTGTCAATAGGAGATTATTGTTTTATAGTGCTGATTTAATGAACTTGATACAAAACAAAAACAACATTTTAATGAGAGTCAAAAATCAGAATTATTCTTCCATTGCTAGTCCTCGTTGTCATCACTTTATAATTATTAAATAAAAAGGGTGGAGGTTGGGAGTTTTGTAGAAATATAGGGTGGTCCATTTCTACTATAAGAATATGTTTCCTTTTTATGTCTCATAATATAAATATAATGGGTCGAGATTAGGAGTTTTGCACTGTAGAATTTGGGGTTGTTTAATTCTACTTTAACTCTCTCAACACTAGCTCGGTCAATTTGACCGACCACGTGACCTCTTTGTGCTCGTTTAAAGTCTTTATAGATTTAATACTTCTGACTTTCATTCTATCAGTTAATATTACAAGTCTTTCACATACATAAAATCATATTTTTTAGTGAAGTATTTTTAATAAAATAAAGATTTGACCATTGATATATTGAGTGTTTTTTTATTTTTTATTTTAAGGTTGAACCTTTACACCCTATTGATATTAACGATGAGTTGACACCACTATCTACCATTCCAATGCCCTACTGTACTGGGAAACTACTCTCTGATTGGCCGAAGGAATTGGTCAAGCCTGTTTACAGGTACTGAAATTTTAAAAATGTCTATTACCAAATAAAAAGTTTTATTGCACTGCCTTTAAGCTAGGTTTTAGTAATTTCCATCAAATAACTCTTAGTATTCATTGTTTCTGATAAAAGATAATGCTCATGGTTGAGCTATAATTGGATAATTCGTAAGTCCTTAAACCCCAGCAGACCCTGTGGCTGAGTCCAGCCACAAATCATGATTTACCCATCAGACTATGACAGCTTCCGATAACATTTACGTCTTTTTGACTGAAAACTAATCCAAACCATGTTATTATCCACTTTTTCTAAATAGACTCGAAATTTGGTAAGTTATGGTGAAAATAATTCTGGCAGGATGAGGCAAAAATTTTAGATATTAAGAGATAATACACACAGTGTCTGAAAATAGATAATGTTCATTGCTGAGAAATAATTGGATAATTCTTAACACACAATGTGTCTCAAAATAGAAGATAATTCTCATTGCTGAGATATAATTGCTTCCTTTGTTAAAAAAAAGAAAAGATAAACAATTAGGATAAATTTAACCAAACTTCTGTAAGAAATTGGATAGGTCTGTGTGTATAAAATTAGAATACACACCTCACTATCAGATGTTAAAAGTACATAAAAAGAAACTACCATCTATGGGCTGTTTTATTTGGACTTCATCAAATAATCTGAAAGTTGTAAACAGTGTAAAGAGAAAACTGGGTATAAACAGCTGTTATAGTTGGACTTTTGTGGTAAAGCTTACTATATTTAGCTAATTTTTTATCTGGGCTCTCCTAATTCACATGGAGTTATAATAGAATATAAAGTTGAGGAAAGGAAGTATAAATTTAAAACTATTTACTAATATTTTAGGATAAGAACATTTCTATTTTCTCTATCCATAGACTTAAAGGGATATTAGTCACGTCAGTTGGATCAAAAGTTCATGGCACATACTTCTTGACAAGAATTTAAAATTTCGGGATTGAAAATTGAAGTTAGCTGTTGCAAAAGATATAAAGTTTAGTGTGTGTTTGTTGATACTGAGGATTTATTGGTTTAGATAGTTTTTTTTTTATCAAGAAAGCTTTGATATTTTAATTTCAAGTTCAGGAGCATTGCACTCTATTAACATGCCTCCTATTCATTAGTAATACATTTAAAAAAAACAATTTTAATACATTTAAAAATGGTTGAGCATGCAAGTACAGAGTTTGATATATTTATATATCATCATCATATTTAAAAATTTTGTTATCAACCAGAAGTAATGTAACAGATTAAAAAATTATTATATGATATTTTTTTTTTTGTATTTTTGAACAATTAACGTAATAAAGATTTAAAACAGAAAATCTTGTTTCAAGTAATATTGGAAGTAAGAAGTATAATATAAGGTACTGATATATATATATATTTGCTCTACATAAATACTTCACACATGCTTATAATAATTAACAAAAAATGTGCATCATAACGTCTTATGTCTGTGATTAAAGGTACCAAAGGATGTATGTGTGTGTGTGCCTCTGTACTTCCATCTCTATCTCATAATTATAAGTTTCAACAGCCTTTTCTGGAGAATGCGATGGGCTAATAATGTACTGAAAATTGTTCAGTCTTATCATTTAGACTTTTTTCACGCATGCTTTTAAAAGGCTTACTCATTGTAAGTGGAGGTTGAATAGTCTTACATACCAATATTACTGTACACTTTCGAGTGAAAATAAATATAAATTTGTAAGTTAGAGACTGTCAGGGTTCGGGAATTTTCGAACAGCTTGCTTTTTTCTCGTAATGGTTATCAGGTGGTTCTACACAGGTAGGTCGTGGTACATGTGTGGTCTTGTACAAACAAGAACTTGATGATCACAAGATGTAATTTATATCACCAGGGGGCACCACAAGTCAAATGCACTAAATGTGAAGTTGCTACTCGTGACCAATTACATGATCAAAAATGTTCTGTAATAAATTATAAAAATTTATGTAACTTGTGACATCAACTGTAAAGTTTGGTGTAATTTTACAAGAATTATGATATTTAGTGGAAAGAAGAAAATAGGTGTTACATTTTACTTTGATTGCAAAGCAAGAGTTTCCGTATTTTTGAGCTTTTTTTTTGTGATATAATAAAAGTACTTGCTGTTTGCTTTGGCTAAAAAATCAATCATGATTAAGATTACTAGAATTATACGTGAGAGGATTTTGTTTAGCACTAGGTGCAAATTTTGTGTTTTCTTAAAAGATTGCTTTGTTTTTATTGTGCTTGAGTAGACGCACACCACCAATTGATCCTCAGATCATTAACTCCATGAAGATGGTGAGGTCTATTGGATATGCTCCAAATCCAGGAAACAGAGTAAGGAACCAGGTCCCCTACCCACCTGACAGGAGAGGTCGAAGGTATAGAGAAACACCTAGAGAGTCTCCTCTACCTAATGGTAAGCTCATGCAATGAACTAGACATGAACAGGTGACGTCAAGTTTCTAAAAACAAAATCACAGACCAGAAGTAATAAGCTGTATCTAATTGGTAATATTAAAAATGATTGAAACAAGGCAGTCTTGTTAGTTTTCTCTTGTTATTAATATAATTTTTAAATACAACTTTGCATTTTTATGTTTATAGAATTTTTTGAAAGTTTACACTTCTAAGAAACAAAATATGAGAACATTACACTGTCCTGGAAGAATCACTAGGAATCTTTTTTTTTAATTAATTAAAAAACAAGATTTAAAATACACGTATGTTTATATTATGTGACTGTTTTAATTATTTAGGACTGAAACACAGTAATGATTTGAAACTGACTTGATATATCTTGTAGATTAAAGACTTGAACTTCAAAACTATAACAAGTAGTTTTTTTTTTCCAGGGGAAGAAGAAACTGTTCCCCAACGCTATCAGAAGATTGAAATTAAGTATTCGAAGATGGGATTTGATGATTTTGATTTTAACCTCTTCAACAGAACGTGTTTCAGTGGGTTGGAGGCTAACTTACCCAATGCTTACTCCAATAATATGATTCAGGTAAGACTGAGCAAAGAATTAAAATTAAAAACACAAACATCATTTGAACCCTTTCTCAAACCAACGTTCAAAAATTTATTTTAAAATATCATTTTAATTCTGTGTCAACAATCCTTTGCCCAAAATTATTGAAAAATTAAAATTTTAGAATTATATAATGTCTGTCTAGTTTATTTCCTAAAAAATGTGAAATTTTCATTTTTTGTTATGTATCTAGGGCAGTGCTTCCCAAACTTTTTCAGCTCGTGACACACTTTTAATGCCCCAAACTTTTTCAGCTCATGACACACTTTTAATGCCCCAAACTTTTTCAGCTCGTGACACACTTTTAATGCCCCAAACTTTTTCAGCTCGTGACACACTTTTTAATGCCCCAAACTTTATCAGCTCGTGACACAGTTGAATGCTCCAAACTTTTTGCAGCACCACATGTAAATAAGTTTTTGTTGCATTATTCATGGATCATACATATATTGGTAAATTTCATATGGTGTTATGAAAATACAAACAAGATATTTGTAATTTATTGAGAAAAAAAAAGATTTTTTGAGGTACACTTACAATGTTTTTGATGTAAATAACATAAAAAGTAAAGTATATAACAGAAGTATATAACATTTTTATTGTTTTTTTTTTTACAGTAAATTTTCATAAGTTTTGGAAACTAAAAACTGATACAAAATTAAGTCCAATTAAATTAATTTTATACACATATTCTGAATTGTTATTAGAAAGTTTTTACCAAGTTTCATATAATTTAATTCTGTACTTCGGGCTAGCTTAGTACAGGTTGTTATGAATATATATTTTGCTAGCATACCACAAGTTTTTGCTTTGAATGTATTTCAGGTTAACATAGTGACAGGCTTTCAAGCATCCCTAAATTTTTAGGATTTTGCTAAAATCCATGAAAACGTTCTAAAAAAAAAATTTGTTTTTTTCCCTAAAAATAGTAACTTGATGGGAAATTTCTAAATTTGTTGTCTTTTAATGAGAAAAGAATAACATAAAGCAAAGTTTTCTTATTGCATGTTTCTATTTAAATATCTGTTTAATCGGTGTTTCCTAGTTATATATTATGCAGGTTCTTCTGTTTCAAGCCAGTTTTTCCAGTGAATCCTCATCTTCAGCTTGATCATCAGCGTACTTCAAAAATGAATACCTGTAGTTTCATATCACCCTTTTAATGTGGTAAGTAGTAATTATACGAAGAACAACTGACTGAAGCAATGTAGTGGTGTTCATTTCGTACATATCTGGCTTACCAGGTTAATGTTAAATCCGTCAAAACCACCCTTGTCTAGAACCAAGTTTTTTATTAGATTACACAAATATCCAGTGTTGTTTGTATACATTTTAAGCACCAGAATAAGCATCCAGTTTAAAGAAGTTGGTTGGTTTCTGAGGGGCTGTTTTAGAGAGATTTTGGCTGTATGTTAAAGTAAACATTCTTGATGATAGTTGACTACAACAAAATTATTCACAAGGATTTAAATTTGGGAGTTGGTGCAAAGCTGATGTATCTTCAGTAAAAAGGGACTTGTTAAGGTAGAGAATGAAAGAATCAAGGCAGCTAATTGAAAATAATGGGAAAGAAAAGACTGAATGCCAAAAAAACAACGACTGTTAGATTACTTTTCAAACACCTTAAAGAAAAAAATTTCACTATCTTCTACCAAAGACACACAGTTTATTATTTCTGGCTATATAAAATACCAACACTTTAGACATTTCTATTGTCATTATCTGTCAAACCACCTAGTCCAAGCTATATTGCCGAAAACATCATGCACCGTAACTCTGATAAACATAATAAATTGATAAAACTCCACTGACACTTTTTTTTTTATCAGCAAAATGTTAAAACCATACTAACTGGTTTTGATAAGTCAGCTTTCAAAAAATACCAACAGGAAGGACACAAGTTCAACTGAACTCCCTTCCAAAAAAAATTGCTTGAATAAAGCTTGAACAAATTATGAATTACAAACCTAGATAAGGTGGTAGCTGTTATACTTGAATAAAAGTTTCTTTGTTTACACAAACACCGTGACAGTCTACTGACACTCTACTGTGAGTTTTTTTGTTTGTTTGTTTAAGAGGAAGCAGTATAACTTGAAGTTTCATTTAATGAATGAACTGGTTCTAACCAGTTCTTACTTTTTGTGTTCTTCAGGTTTGAAGTATACACTGGTAACCAATGCTGAAGATTAGGATTCAGAGGAAAACAGTTAAGAAGCAAAATAAGTTATGTCTGTGAGTTTATTTATTGCTATTTGTTTCAAAAAGGGTAAGTTTCTAAAGCAGTTGTTTGGAAGAAATAATAAATGTTCCTGAAGTTCCCACATTTGTCCCCAAAATGATGAAAAATTGGTCCTAAATTTTGTCAGTTTTGCTGGTAGTAAAGATTGTTCTTATAAATATATGTTGACTAGCATAGTGTTGGTTGTTGACTTACAACAACAAAAAAACTGAATAAAATGTGAAATAAATACCACTATTACAAAATTTTTAAATTTAGGAATCTATGTATGTCTTGGCTGAATTAGTAAAACTTTTAATTTTTAGGAATTTGATACAAAACCTTTGCTACAAAATTTTTATGTGTAAAGGAAGTTTGTATTTCAGACTGTGATACTGTATTGTGTGTAGCCTTTTTTGTCATGTGATCGTACAAGTGTGTAACTACAGATGGTTGAGTATGTTATATTTAAGTGATTTTGAAGTCAGCAAATCACATGACTACCACAGCTGATATAAACTTGTGGTGGAACGACATGAATCAGAACTAAGTTTTGAAAGTGTTTGGCATTTGTAGGTAGTGGGTTGTCACCAAAAAGTTATCAGTTTTGGGAATGCTAAATAACAGCCCTTTCTGACACAAAATATTTACACACTCAAATCATAAAATTGTGTTCTGATTGGGAATTTAGAATTTCCAAGAAGAGAATATCCCTTGTACTTAATGGCATTTGGAAACAAAGAAATATGAATCAACCTGGGGCACCAGGACAATCCAGAAAGAGACCTGCAACAAGTCATACTCCAGCAGTAGTAAGTAAAGCCCTATCTCTTGTAACAGATGAAAATATGTGAACACAAAGATCAGAGGTAAATGCCATCCACTTGCCCAAAGCAACAGTCCACAACATAATGAAAACAAAGTCGACAGGGTATAGGTCCACAAAAAAAGGCCTCCATTTGTACCTCCTGTTCAACCATTACATACCACAAGCAGCCAAAGAATGAAATAGATATTCATACTATTCCATATGAAGACTTACCATTCAGGTCACTGGGCACTGTGCCTATGGATTACTGTGGGACTGGTCTGTTGAAGTTGGCACTGGGAACTGTCATCCTCATACACTTGATAGATTATGGAAAACATACCCTGAAGAGTGGTGTGCTTTAAACATGACAGCCTTCTACAGTTGAAACTATGCTGCATGGCTATGGTCATAGTGCATGGTTGTCAGACAGAGTAAGATCTGGCAGGGCAACATGGACTGTAATTTTATTTTGAGGTTTCAAAATCATTTTAATATAACATACTCAACTCTTTTTGTGCTATGTTACCTGAGATATACTCGTAAGTATTATGTACTGTGTAGCTTTATGTTTGTTTGAGTAAATTAAAGTAGGTTCGTGATGTGTATGTCAAATTGTTGGTTGTAATTTGAAACAAATCTTTGTTTAAAGTTAAATCATTTTGACACTGATATAACAATTATAATTGCAGGTGCTTTATTTTGTTGAACCTTTACGATGTGCACTACTTAATCATCTCTGTCATCGAGAATTCTGTTTAGCTTGTGAACTGGGATTTTTATTTAATATGCTGGACAAAGCTCAGGGTTTTCCTTGTCAGGTTAGTTAGTTTTATATCTTTTAACCCTATTCAGATGACATTGGACCAACCCATTTTCTATTAAGCTATACATAGTAATTTTTTGCTATAATTCTGAATTTACTAATGTGTATCATCACAAAATGTGGCAAGATCTCAGTAGACATCATATCGCTGCAGATTGTAACAGAAAATTACAATTATTTATCATAAACAGCCTCAGTTTTCAATTATTCTTGTCATAAGACATTAGTATTAGGCTCATTACGTTCTTAAACAGTATGTTCTTTATCTGGTCTCTTAGAGATTTTAAAAAATTAGAAGAGTGTATAATAATAGTCCAACCACACTATTGGTTGTATATATTTTCCTATACTTTATTATTTTATTGCTCTTTTAACTATATCTGTGTAACAAAATGAGAAATCACTTGGCAAGTACATAGCTCAAGTTACGGTAAAAAAAACTCACACGCATATCTTACTGAGAAATTTGTTTTCTTATCTAACCTAATAAGTTTCTAATTTTTGCATTGCAGTCATTTTTATAACAATAGATAAAAAATATATAATGTAGTATTTATGTATGGGACTTGTACATTATTTTACACTTAAAGCCTCAATAAAAAAAGGTAACCCTAATTTTTGTTATGGCTATTGTTAATACTTTATTGAATTTTTATTTATTTCAAGTAGTTAATTTGGAGCATGAAATAATAACACACACACACAAGAAATACGATGTTCTATAACTATTATATTTTACTGGCGTTCTAATTAAGTTGTAAGTGCATTTCAAATAATTACCTTACCATGTTAGATACGAACTCGGTGAAATAAATTTTGAATCTGTATCCTGAATAATTAAAAATTTGTCATCAAAATGAGCTAGTAGTACATGTAATTCAATGGATTAAAATATTTTTCCATTGGTTATAGATAATGTAATAGCAAATGCCAGAGAGAATTAAGAAATTTTTGAAAGACTATGTGATAGGATTGGCATACAAGTTCAACTTTCTGATTTACATATTTGTAAATGAAGATGATTGAAGGCTATAAGATTATATTATGCCCCAACAATATCTATGCTATAAGCTTTAATTTGAATTGGAGCTGGAAAGCTCCAATAGGGGTGTAAGAAATGAGCAATTCATCTTTAACATGTACTTAGATACATAAAAGTGAAGATTGCAAATTTATTTAAGTATTTCCTTTTGAAATTAAAAATGAAAATTTATATAAGATTAAAATTTGATTTATTAACTATGTTTTGATGCCAAGTTTATTGACATTAATTTATTATAAAGTTGTTTTATTAAATTTGGAATGTAACTATGAAATAGTGTGACATGCACACTTTGACCCCCACCCATACACATAGGGTTGTTAGTTGCCAGGGGTTAATTTTAAAGTTCTTCTTAAAATGTAATGGAAATGCTTGAGTGTAAAAAAAGTTACATTAAAATTTATTATGTTCTACTGTGGCTAAAAAGTGACAAACTAAAAATAAGTCTTATTAATTTTCTACTTCAAATATAATGACATGCTTGTTGTTAAAGTGAGATGTGTTCCGTGCTCATTCAAATATCGAAAAAATGGAACATCCTTCTTCTGCTTGAAACACTGAGAAAACTGAGACACATGAATCGTGCTTCTTTCTGTATTCAAAAGAAAATAAGAACATGCTTATGGTCAAGATGAATACAGGAGGTCCCCATTATACGTCGTGATGCGTTCCTGGAAAGTGGGGTGTATGTTTGAAACAACGTTAAGCAACACAATCTTTACATGTATTATGAGGGGATGTGTTCCTGATGCTTCACACACACATTGTTAGTACAGTACTTTACAATACGCCTGGTAAAGTAGTTTGACAATGTTTTAATTAACTCTCTCTCTACACTGCCTCGAGTTGAATTGAGCGACCATGTGATATCTTTCCCATGAGAACAAAGCTTGTAACCAAACAAGATTGAAGGCTAATGAAATTATGCTTTGTCAGAGCAATAACAATATTATAATGAGTAATTTACATTACATTTCATACTTATTGGAGGGGTGGTGAATACATTAGAGAAGAGGGCTTCACATTTCTCACACTAGGGGAAATTCAGAAATTTTTTTAAATATTGCCTTATAAAATTAAGAATTTAAAACTTATATACTATTAAGATATAGATTATTAGCTATGATTTTATGCTATAGTAATTGATATAACATGAACAAAAAGTAGTTTAATTAAATTTTGAATGTTACTTACTAAAACCCTTGTGACATGGACAGTAAAGGATGCCCTGGCAGAGAGGGTTAACACTCTAGTAATGAAACAAGGCAACATTGTTTCAAATTTATTGGTAGTAATTGGTAAACACTACACCTGGAAAAGTAGTCAACAACGTTGGAACTCTGTAGTAATGAAACAAGACAACATTGTTTGATATGTGGGTAGTAATTGGTGAATGCTGTAATAATGAAACAATGCAGAGCAATGCAACATATAACAGGGAACCAGTGCAGTAAACTAATCATCATAATATGTAGGATATTACGAAACATTGAAATATATAGGATAGTCTTTTAACTAGTGTTTCTTATGATAACCGTTTACAAATTGGCCAGGCAATAAAAATGCATTGATTCTCTAGCAGCTTCATATATTTGATCATGGTAAATATTTGTAAATTGTAAAATCAGAATTGAATTTCTAGAACTCAAAGAGCTATTTGTAAGTGGTGGCTATGGTAAATTAAAAACTGTAGGATTTAGATCAATACCAGGGAACTAGCTCCAAGACTTCTCTAATAAAATATATCATTATGGCATTATCATCGTCTCACCAGCACTTCATAACAAATAACTCACTGGAAACAAAGTGGAAAATATAGGTAGTCTTACTTAAGAATGAAAATGAAACTGGTGTAGCTTTAAAGGTATTCTTTTTCACACTTGAATGCTTTATGCAACATGCAGTGATGTGATAACTTCCAAAATGCCATTACTGTGGATGAGATACTAATTGAGAACCTGAGGCTACATCTAATATCTAAGAGTGCCTTCTCTATATCAATACATATCTTCTAAATCCCAGGTGTTGGTTGCTTTTTGTCTGTAATGTACTGTTGATTCTTCTGTAGTTTCATTCCTACTTCAAATTTTAAAGCTATTAAATGTTACTTTTTAAAAGATGTTTAAAATATACAAAATCTTTTTTCCTGTAGCCCAGCAATTTTTTACGAGCTTTCCGAACTTTACCCGAGGCTTCAGCTCTGGGTTTGATCCTTCCAGATTCTGATGACGCTAGAAAAAAAGCTAGCTTTCCAAGATTAGTACAGAGTTGGATCCGGTTTGTTCTGCAACAGATTCATTCGGTAAGTATTCTATTTTACACAGACTACATTCTGAAACATTTTCCAGACTAAATATCTAATACATAGTTAAACCAGCTCCATTTCTATAGAAAAAAAACTATCTTTTTTTTGGTTATTGTTATATGATAATAACATATTTTTTCTAGTTTTGCTTTCTAAAGATGAGGCCAGTCTTGGATGAGCATTAAACTTACTGAATCATGGTATATATCATTATTTATGGTGTGAATGTGAAATGAAGGTACTGATGTTTATATTTATTTACTTGCAGTGCTTATTTAATTAATATTTGTGTGTAATAAGTTTATAAACGATTTTTTTTTGGCTTTTGTTTTGCACTCTGTTTGACAAAGCATGTTGTGTTGCACATGGTCTAGTAGTTTGCACAGTGGGCTGTGAGCAGAAGGATCAAGTTGTGATATACTATGAACACATTTTACACTTTCGGCTCTGGGGATGTGATAACAGTTAGTGTTTCCTATCTGCCAGGAAGCGAAATGTTGTACGAATATTTCACCAAAACTACAGAAAAATTAATTTATCATTAACTTTAACCTTAACCCTTTTGCGATGGGTGGATCTAGATGCACATTTCACAACATTTTAGTGAGTTAAGTACTTATAAAGCCAGAAAAATTGTGAGATTAACTAACGTTACCGGGGCACAATGAAATATTCAAAAGATCTATGGAGGTGCAGTGCTTTTGGATTGGAAAACTGGTATTCAGTCTTGCTATTCAGTTAAGAATAGTCATATTCTTAGCAGGTGCTAATGATTAGTTGCCCTTCCTCTAGTTTGGAGTTTTAAATTTGGTGTGGGTATAACTAAATACAGCGATTTATGACTTTATCATTTAGTGCATGTTTTCCAAAAGGTGCCTTAAGGTTTGAAAAACTAAGGTACATTAGATCATTCATAGTTTAGTGGGTATAAATTTATATGTTTTTTTCTAAATTACTAATTATTCACTGATGAAATGGAAATTAGAAGGGATGGTAACTTATTTTTTGAAGTTTCACTCATGATCAAGAGTGTGAGAATTCAATACAAATACATCTTGGATGGTGGCTGTAAAAAACTTGATAACCTGGTACTAAACGCATATAAAAGCCAAATGTTTACAACTTCAGAATCCTGAAATAAAAATCATATTATTAAAAGAAGAACAAGCAAGATAGATTTTAGACAAACTGGTAAAACTATCGATATATTAGATATAAGTTGATGGGGTTGCTTTGTATAATTTTTATCCTAAATACGTTATTCATTCCAGTAACACAATCGAGCTAAAGTTTGATTAGATAGAGAAGAAAAAGACATATCTCAAAATTTATTTAAAAGTCCCCAACTTTTCATTTTTGGGTAATGAGTGGCCTAGTTGTTAGCAACCAGACTGTGAATCTAAGGGTCCATGGTTCATGTCCTATTGCTTCAAAATCAAGCTCCACATTTTAAGGTCATGGGTGCATTATAAGAGTAACAATCAAATTCCATTTTTCAGTTATAATGATCCAAGAGCTGCTAGTTGGTGCTGTTTACTAGCTGCCTTCCCTCTAGTGTATCAATTTAAAATTAGAAATGGCTAGTGTGCTTGGCCCTTGTGAAGCTTTGCACAACTTTCCAAGACAAACAATTATTTCATTTTTATCAATTAAATTATGGCTTAAACTGAGATGCAACAAGTTTAGTCGCTTAGATAAATGTTTAGTGCTCTACTTTCAGCACAGTATACAGAATAATGTTGAAACAGGATTGCATGCATGTAATTTTCAAGAAAGAAATTATAGTTTATTGTACTGAAATTATTTGTTTGTTAGGGGTTTTTATTATTAATATTCAGGGTGGCGCAAAAGTCAATAAGGATTGTGAATAACAATAAAACAAAAGCACTTTTTTTGTTTATTAAATAAGTGTTTAAATTTTGGCAATTAACTTCAAAGCACAAGCTGTGTTATCACCTTTACGTTGATTTTGTTAAATTATACTTAAAACAGCCTTATATTTCTTTTAAAAAACTTACAAATAGAAATAAAAAAAAATCAGCTAGTCAGCATTTGCATAATGTAACCGTAATTCAGAAAATTTAAACAAGTGATTTTGTTTTTAATGTATCTGCTTGACACAGGATAAAAATCCTCAAACTAATCATACCACCATTACTATAAACAAACTTAACTGTGCTGTTTCTCCCTATCAATGTTTTTAACATGAATATTTATTTTTTTAATTACTCAAAACTAAATTTGTATCTGAATGTCAAACGTGGCTTTTCATTTCTCTAAATCAGTTTATTTTCTCAAATTTTCATTTGATGCATGTCGTGAATGTTTTATAGTACATGTGGTGTACAAGATTAAATAGAATACCAAGTTTTGATCCTTTGTAGCCCTTCAGTAATATATGTATGTGTGTGTGTGTGTATATATATATGGTGAAGACAGGACTCTTTGTTAATTTTCAAGTCTCTCACGAAAGATTCTTGAAAGTATTCACACTCTGATTGTTAGATAACATTATTTTATGATTTCTTCGTTTGTTATTATGTTATTAAATATAAAATTAAGAAATCAAAGATTATTTTAATCAAACCTTTGATGAAAATTAATGAATGTGCTTCATTGAAAATTAATATAAACTATTAATTTTAAGCCAGTGTTCTCGTTCACCCAAAGTTTTGTATGTTTGGAGTTTTTCTTTCTTAAGATGTTAGCACTCAATTAAAGTAATAGAATACTGTTTTTTAATTCATGGTGTAGTACTAACAGCATTTGTTTTTGCCAGGAAACTCAACAGTTAAGTCCAGTAGAGAACCAAGGTGAAACGACAGAGTAAGTCAATCTTCCTCAATAAATAAATGGTACTTGTGTGCATGTAAAACATTAAAAAAAAGAACATACAATACTGAATTGTTGCACAATAATTTAAATTTATTAAAAACATGATGCTGAGAGTTTAATGTAAGATTCTGTAAACTGGAGGTGTAAATAGGTATATAAATCATTATCTGATTTGAACTCTTACTCCTGATGATGGTGATGGTGTAAAATTCTACCAAAATGTTTAGAGTATTTTTAGAGCTGTGCCTTGATTTTAATAAATATGATTTGCTGTGTAACAATTCAGTGTTGCATATTAAATTTTAATATCCTTATCAGTAGGTTTTATAAGAAATGCATCATGTGTAGAAGTACTACCACAAGTACTCAGTATGCAAGTAGTCTGTAAGTTAATGAACAAATCATAGCTTCAGCTTGGTTAAGGAAATAAATAATAGAAAACAACTTTAACTAACAACTTAAACATTATACCACGGACACGTAAGTGAAATACATTATTTATTTTTGTTAAATAAGAATAAATATATATGTACTTTTTCATTTCACGAGTCTCTTCGAAATAACTTTAATATCTTACTTATTCTTGTAAGATAGCATGATATTTTGTTCAAAACATTGCAGTACAGCCTAAGGTAAGCTGCATAGTAATCATATTAGTGTGAAATCAAATATTTGTGTGGACAAAACAGTATATTATAAATAAGGAATAAATTACTTTTAAGTTTCAACAAAAGTTTCATCAACATAACATAATTCATGTTGTATGAGGTATGTAAATTTAACTGTCAAAAGTGCTTGAAATTTTGGTTGAATTATTTAGTACTTCAGTATTTATGATGCTGTACAAACCGAGAAGTTTTTACAAACGTCAGTACTGACTTTTGTAAAAATGTCGAAATCGACAAAATATACCTGAAGAATTCCCCAACAGGAACTAAATACTTTTCAACTAACCTTGTTGTTCAGTCCCAAACTCCAATTAGTTTTAACGTATCAGAAAAATATTCTTTACCAAGTTTACAGCAATAGGCTTATATAAAAAGTGTCTTTTAAATTCACAGTGATTACAATGATTGTTTGTTTGTTTCAGATATTCATGCAAAGCTATTTGCCGTAGCTATTCCTAATTTTGAATTGATAGACTAGAGAGAAGACAGTTGGTCAACAACACCTACAGCCAGCTCTTGGGCTACTCTAATCAAATAGTGGGATTTGACCATGATTTTACAGTAAAATAATGTGTATCATGGACCCTTTGAGTCTACAGTTTTGTATGGTAATCGCTATCCTATACTCAGCCTTTTGCAAGGATGTCTATGAATTGGAAATATTAAGTAACACTCTTGTATTGTACATATTAAGTTTTATTCTTGTTATAAATGTATTTATAGCTGTGACTACACTGGAAGTATAGCAATTAGGGAGTCATCTAATGTCACTGTAATAGCAGTCTTAGTCAATACTGTTAAGCCTACAAGAACACACTAAAAAGTTATAATCGAACAGTCAATATCACAAAAGCAAATATCAATATTCAGAATGGGGCATAAAAATTGTGAATGCATTTATATGTAGTAGGTCATAAAAGTACAAAAATTATTCCTTTGGATAACACAAAAGCTTCAGCTTTGTGGGAATAATTACTAGTTTTTAAGTACTGTATTGTTGTTTGTGTGTAGTTCTAATTTTATGTCAATTTAAAATTTAAGTTTTTATGTGATAACTACTAGCTACTTGAGTTACACATGCAACTTTTGTTTCAAGGATAAGACAGAATTCAGTTCACCAATGTACTTGAAACGTTACAATATCTACAGTGTTAATTCCCAAATAATGTTAAGTGCTTTGAATTAGAGATGATATAATATTAGCATTTTTTATTGATATCTTACAGAAAGCTTCCAGAAAACGAACATTCTTCAATTGTCAGCAACGTGTTTGGGGCAAGCATTGCCATTTGTAATCGGTGTCGATGTGGATCTGAAAAGGAACAGGACACAAACACTCTACTGTTTACTCTGGTTTATCCAGACTTGTATCTTTCTGGAAATGGTTTGTTTGAAATATTCCTATGATTATATTGTCTTCGTGTTCTCTGCAAAGTAGTGAAGGTTTGAGTTATCACATTTACAACCTCTATATGTACTCAAGTATTAAGATGTTTTAACCCTTTGTCTGCAGCTGCTTTAAACACGCGTGGAAGTTTTGCAAGCTATACACTGTATACAGTAAACTCGCATTCAACTGCTGGAGGCGGACCATACTCTATACGTCGAATCAGCAGTCAATGGGTTAATGTGCTGTAATATGTAAGCTATTAGGTGTTTCTTTTAATGATTTGTTTATGTAAATGTAAGCTATGAGGTGTTTTAATTGTACTTTGGGGGTAGGATTATTGTTACAATACATGGTGGAGTGGTGGTTTAAGGTAAGGTTTTTGTTACAAGACATCGTGGAGTGGTGGTTTAAGGTAAGGTTTTTGTTACAAGACATCGGTAACAAAAACCTTACCTTAAACCACCACTCCAAAGACATTGTGGAGTGATGGCTTTCAAGATAAAAGTTCAGAGAAATTTTAAATTAATTATTGTCAACTTGTGTCTTAACAGGTTGTGTTGTATTATGTTATAAATTTTAAAATGTATTGTAATTAAAAAAAAACAGTTCGCATCAACTAGCAAAATTAATATAATGATCAACAGCACTACAGTATGGTTAGAATGGTTCTTGTCAGCCCGGCATCACTCCACAATAGTTATGACCAACAGTATATTTAAGAATGGTTCTTGTCAGCCCGACTTAGTCATGATAAGGAATATCACTCCACAATAATTATGACCAACAGTATATTTAAGAGTGGTTCTTGTCAGCCAAGTTTAGTCACTGATAACAAATATTACTCCGTGAAGATGATGTGTGATGTATAATTTGTTTATAAATTAATTTTTAGTACCAAACAGTAAAAAAAGATCTAATAATAAACGTGAAGCCAACTCTATCATTCATTTTACTCCTTGCCACTGACTTACACGTTTTAGGGAGTTCCATCCCTCACCAGTAATCCTGGACAAGAGCAAATTGAAATATATGTAGGCTTCTTATACTGGTGGAGTTTATATTATATGTATGATGTCTTGAAATATATTTTGGACCCCATTCACCATCCGGGGATACGGCTCAACCCGGGGCTTTCCGCACTTCTCCAGTCCAGAGTTTATACACTGAATCCCACGAATCTCCTCTTAACCATAATATTGACATAAATATCAGAGAGAAATATGTCCTATAAGACACAAAAATGTGATTGTTTTCTACTACATAACATTTGAGAAAAGTTAGATAAATGAAGTTTTTTTTTTATGTTTAGTTTTCACCGGCTTATTTCAGGTCAGGAAAAGTCACCTATACAGCATTCATTTGCCGATGTTGTACAGCATAGTTTATCACTAGAACAGACAGTTACGGCATGGTGTGACAAGTGTGTTATCTACCAGCCTACAGTATGTTTTTCTCGTTTTTTCATGTTTGTTTCAATAAGGTTGTCAAACTGGTTTAACTGTTTGATGTTTTGAATGTGAAATTCTTACCAGTCGAATTCAATATAAATAAAAAGGTTTTGATTGTTAGTATTTACTTAAAGGTTGGACTAAAGCTGGTGTGTTTGAGACATTCTGTTTCTTTTTTTACTAGGTGTGTGTTTTATCTACAACATAAACAGAGTACTATTTAATAATAAGCTATTAAAAACTTGAGACATGGATTACTTCACATTCACTAAGAAGCTGATGTCTGGGTTAAAAACAGATTATTGGCATTACCCTTTTTTTTTTTTCTACAATACTTTTAACGAGAGCTTTCAAAAAAGTTTTTCCGAAGCTAGAAGATTACATGAGCATTTGGTATTTGTAGAATTATTACTTTCTTCACTAGTTGTAACTTGAATGGTAGGAGAGATTAAAGCCAACATGAACTGAAGGATATTGAAAAGTTATGTTGTAAGATTTGGGTTTTATTGTTATCAGCCATAGATTCAATACGTAAAAGGTCCATCTTGTCAAGTATTTTGTAGTTATCAGAGTGGGCCCGGCATGGCCAGGTGGTTATGGTGCTTGACTCGCAATCTGAGGGTCGCATATTCAAATCCCTGTCACACCAAATATGCTCGCCCTTTCAGCTGTGGGGGTGTTATAATATGACGGTCAATCCCACTATCCATTGGTAAAAGAGTAGCCCAATAGTAGGTGGTGGGTGGTGATGACTAGCTGCCTTCCCGCTAGTCTTACACTGCTAAATTAGGGATGGCTAGTGCAGATAGCCCTCGTGTAGCTTTGCACAAAATTCAAAACAAACAAACAAACAAAAGTTATCAGAGTGAAATAGATGCAGAAATATGCATAACAGTATGAAAATGTCCAATTCCTGGTGTATCTGTTTTCACATGTGCAAGTATAAATACCAGCTTTTTTCGTAATTAGTGTATTCCATATCATTTATTTGTAACACTTAATGTCCATAAATAACTCTGTAGTAGCTGCAAGAAATTTACTAGCTATATCTGAGTGAATAGCTTGAGCGTACGTTGAACTTGTACCACCAAGGAATGTATTCTATATAACGTTTTGCTTCAAAATTAATTAAGATATTTTTTCTATGCTTATAAAAAAAGTTATTAGAGTCTCATTTTAAAGTTTATGGGTGTGTTATTGAGGTAGTAAAGCATATGTCATGTTTAACATTAGCTTCAGACCAAGAAGCTGAAGTCTCTACCTAATGTCCTTGTACTAAGTTGTGGATTAGATCATGCTCCTGGTGCAAATTTCTGGAAAACACAGATGGAGGTAAGAATCACTAAAGAACACAAAATAATAACACACACAAAACAAACAATGTCCTATAACTATTATAATTTAATTGACTTTCTAACTAAGGCATAAGTGCCTTATGATAATTCCCTTAGTTACTCAATCTGAACTTGGCAATAGCAACTTTTAAAAATGAGTTAGCATTATACATTACTTGGTATATTAAACTCAGCCTTTCTGTTGGTTATAAATGATGTAATAGCAAATGTCGGAGAGAATTATTGGCAATTTCTGAAATATAGGATGAGGAAAATGGGTGTGAATTTCTGGTTTATATATTTGTAACAAAATAATATTGAAGGCTATAAAATTTAGACAATGTCATAGTAATATCTATACTATAATGAGGGTTGATGAAAAAATAGAAAATGGGTAAGTCGGAGCAAACAAATGTCATGTTACAAAGACAAACAGAGACTGAGAATTTATTTAAATATTTCCTTTAGAAATTAACACTTATATAATATTCAAATTTAATTCATTAATTATGTTTTGATAGCACATTTATTTGTATACATTAAATTTTGAAAGTAACTCTGTAGAAGGTCGTAACATGTGAACTCTATTTTGATAGTTAAAGGAGCGTTTGAGTAATTGTATTCTGTTAAAACTCCTGTTAATAACACACAGTGTGTCCTGCAGGTTGTGTTGGTTGCACAACACACTACTGTGTGACTTGTTAGATGTCTGGGTGTTAGTTTGGACTTGTTTTATTGACTTTGTTAGGATATCAATAATAACTCGTGTATGATGACTCACTATTACTTCAATTTTTATTTACTGGTTAGATTATCCGCTAAAACAAGCAGAGTCTAGGAATATGTGATTGTATGTGAAAACAATGAATAATCTTTTTTTTTTTGTTAGATTTAGAAGCTTTGTTGTAACATCTTCATGACTGTTGTTTATTACTGTTAGATTAGGAAGCTTTGTTGTAACATCTTCATGACTGTTGTTTATTACTGTTAGATTTAGAAGCTTTGTTGTAACATCTTCATGACTGTTGTTTATTATTGTTAGATTTAGAAGCTTCGTTGTAACATCTTCATGACTGTTGTTTATTACTGTTAGATTTAGAAGCTTTGTTGTAACATCTTCATGACTGTTGTTTATTACTGTTAGATTTAGAAGCTTTGTTGTAACATCTTCATGACTGTTGTTTATTATTGTTAGATTTAGAAACGTTGTTGTAACATCTTCATGACTGTTGTTTATTATTGTTAGATTTAGAAACGTTGTTGTAACATCTTCATGAGTGTTGTTTATTATTATTAGATTTAGAAGCTTTGTTGTAACATCTTCATGACTGTTGTTTATTACTGTTAGATTTAGAAGCTTTGTTGTAACATCTTCATGATTGTTGTTTATTATCAATCTTCATGGTGTTGGATGTCTGGCTAATGTTTGATTTGGAGCTTTGTGGTATATGAAGATTAATGTTGAATAATCTTTAGCCCCTAGTGGTTGTGATTGTTTCAAGCACATTTTCTAAACTTTATGCATGTAATAGTCTACGAATTACAAATCAACTGATAATGGATACAGATTTCCTGAAACTGAAACACACTATATGGTTATCTGAGGTGTTTTTTTTTTGTATACTAAGAATCTTATGATTATGTTTCTATTTTCAGCTGCTGAATGAAAAAGAAGGTAAAAATATACCAGGTAAAGTTCCGGAAGTACCACTTTCTGCCAGAAAACCTTGTCGCTATGCTAACAATTGTACTAGACCTGACTGCAAATTCTTCCATGAGAAAGACAAGACAAAAAGGTACTTTACACATTTCCTTACAATATGTATTTTCTAAGCATTCTTTCCATTACAAACTAAAAGTTGATTCTGTTTAATTTCTTGTAAACTGAGCACTGCACTAATGCAGATACTTACCATTTCAAATATAAACGTAATGCATAATTAAATAAATATACAGTGATGGCAACTTTTACGGCAGGAAAGCTCTTATTTTAATACTTACAAATTTAAATTACCTGATTTTAAATGTTATAATTATTAAAATCAGAACTTCCCTACTTTTAAAAGCTGCTGTTGTTGTATTTTGAATTAATTATTTAGTTCAGTAGAGGTTCCTTAAGATATAATGGTTTGGAAAATTCAACAGTGCACCAATAGAACTGCTAACAATTTTAAAATTTAAACTTCATGTTTAATGATTTAGAAAAATATTCATACTGCATCAATTATTTTAGAGCAATCGCTGTATCATTAAAACAATTAGTCTTTCTAGTGTGAAGTGGCTATTGTATCGTACTCGTAAGTCTTACCTGTTCCGTCATTACTGTTTAGTGCTAGAATTCTTTTCTTATGATTGAAAATAATCTTTTTAAATTCTAAATTGCTAATGAAAAATTATTTAAATTCAAACTTTGCATAAAATCACTTTCCTATTTAATCTCCACTATGTTTTAGTTCCATTCAGTGATCCTAGAAACAAAAATGTTTCTGATAAATTTTCTTTTAACCCAGAAATATAATTAATGTTTGCTCTGTTAAGAAAAAACTAATATTATCTGTATGTGGGCATTGTCAGTATCTATACCAGATATATTTGAATTTGCTGTAGTATAATTGGCTAAGAATTTCTACATCATTTTCTCAAGATGTTATTCATTAATAATATTTCATCTAAAACTGAAAGGCTTTAAAAGATTTTCAAATAAATTCACATTCTTAAGTATCAAAGGCTTTTTCTGAGTCAGTAGTAATAACGAAGTTATGTTAGACGTACGTGTTATGTACAAGATTTATTCCTTTAATAAGTCCAATTTAGTGAGAAAAAATAAAATATCCTACAAAAGTTAAGTATTCATTATCTTTGTTTGTGTGTGTGTGTGTGTTATCAACTTAATTTTATCCTTTGTTTCTGTAAGTTATTCAATTCTCCTTCATGAAAAAGACGTATTAAGACTCAAGAAATCCTTCATATGAAAGCATATTTAAACCCGTATCAGTACATAATCATTTCAAGATGTGTGTTTTTTTAAACTTCTAATACTCTCAAAAATTCCTTCTTCACAGAAATGTTCATTAAAAGTTTGTTTATAATTCTCAGTAGTACCAATACGTTTAACCAAAAATAATTAATTTTTAACTTCAAGTTTCTAGATTATAACTATTAGTTTCTTCTAAACTTTCTTTCATATTGCATAAAATATCATGCATTTCTTCTTATTTCCAAGCAATGAATATGTAATTTAAAATAAATTTTCAACAAACAAAGTTGAAATGGCTAGAAACTTCCTAGTTCAGAGTGACACAGGTATAGAAAGTTTTCGAGGACTAGTCTACAAAAGATGGCGGGCTTCTGAAATGCTGCCCTTTCAACCTAAGCTACTTTTGTTGATTAGTCTTCCAATACTTTCTCTACTAGTGTCATTCTGAACAAGGCAGTTCTGTCCATTTCACAGCTGTTTGTTCATTATGACTAAATCATCGATGATAAGGTATGTAAAGAAATAAATAACAACTATTTCAGAATTTGAAAAAGTTTTTCGTTGTACAGAACTTGAAGATAGCTTTGATATATGGAAACATCTGTTAGCTGAGTTCTTGCACAGATCTTAAAATATAAACACATAAACCTGTCCTTTGCCGCCAAAAT